TCTGTGCTAATGAAGAAGAATTGATTTCAATGATTCTTGATCTTCAAGAGTAAACCCAATTGATTTCAGATACTGACTGGTACTACCATATCTAATGAAAATAAAAAACAACTTGGGTATTTTGTGTATGTAAATCAAATTTTGTATGCAAAGGGTTGTGAAAATGGCAATGTCAGTAAACAGACTAACTCATCGTATTTATAATTTTGCACATTTTACTGTTTTAGTAAATTTTCAGAGACGAGACACAACTGACTTACAAAAAACCCATCCCATGCTAAATTTGCATTAATATACACTGAACTGTGATCTGTACAATGCATTCACAAGCTACAAGTACATGTATCTGCATCAGGGTTTCCCACAGGATTTTGGCATAGTGCTCAGCAGCTTCTTGTCAGTGGATAGTCAAATTACTCAAAATTTGGCCCAACTATAAAGTAGTACAGTGTATTTGGACAAAATCACTAGGAGAAAATTTCCCATTAGCCAAATTTTGTCAAAAATAAAAAGGAGAAGATTCTCCATTTTTTTGATGCATATACATGTACTTTTTTGTGTAGAAACTTTAAACTGAAGTTCCGATCAAGTTTGGATTTTTTTTTACAAATTTTTACAGTTGCTTTAAATGTCGTGTACTGTAGTACTGCTTGTCAGCTCATGAAGCATGCATGCTTTGTGGGAAATCCTGTTATTTGGATTGAAAAGTACCAAGTCATATAATAGTTTTATTCTAATTTTAGTATCATGTTTCATCTACTGACCTTTTGTCTATTTCATTAAGTACTTTAAGCATTGTGTCAGCCTTAGCCCGGCAACTGTGCTCTGCCATACCCCAATGGACAATGAGATCATCATACATCTCATTCCTCATTGACACCAATCCATCCTACAATTTACATGTAATAAATGTATTAATATTTAATACTATATAAATTTCATACTTTAACTACTGGTATAATAGGTTTTGTATACATAGACTGTACATGTAACAACAACATGGCAAAATTCCTTTTTACATGGATGTGGAAGCATGTTGACTATTTAAAAATAGAATAAACACTGTTCCTACTCCATCAAAAAAGTATTTACTACATTATGAAAGGAATGGTGTCATGTTGTCCTTTAGTATAGTCTAGTGAAGCAGTGGCAATAAGGACATCTCCATTTGTTGGAATTGAACACCATTCCTATGCATGTACGTGATTTTGTAACTTACTTCAGAGGAAGCATAGTCCATAGCAATGGTCTCGCTCTCTACTCCAATGCAGTCCAGTATAAGAGCCACTAGGACTCCAGTCCTGTCCTTACCATACACACAGTGTATCAATACTGGTAGGTTCTCTTCATGTGAGAGCAACAGTTTTAACATACCGCTAAATACAGGCTTGCTATATTCAAGATAGTCTATGTATTGCTGGTAAAGCGATTGACGCCGAATGACCAATCGACTGTATAGTCTTGGGAAGAAGCGAACATTTTGATGTGGGTTAATTCACCCTCCACCACAGATACTTTGAAGTGATATGACCCTCAGGCCTTCAGCCATCATGATATCAATTCAAAGTATCCTCAGTGTTAGGTTATATAATACACACAATTATGTAGTTTATATCTACATTGTAAATTGGAAATGATTGTATATGTATCTTTTGTGTACTAAACATGTTCTATTACAGTAGTACAAGTACAGGGCTGATTGATTTTTGTAAAATAGACTTGAGCCGTCAACTGTTGCTTTGACTTGTACTGTACTTTGACTTAATAAAATAACCTGAGACATCGTATTGAATATCAGCTTATGTTATATATTGTCATTGTGCTACTGATTGTTGCTCATGTAAGCTTTGCAATATTGAATATTAAGAAAAGTGGTAATGCCTGCTATGCAGTTACAGGCCAATGATGCACTCATTGTTTACTTGATAATTCAATTAGTTCTAGTTTGATATCATTTAGTTGTATAATACTATAGGTCTAATTTTTATTGTATGCATAATTGATCAACAAAATAAATGATTAAATTCAAAACAGCATTAAGAAAAATTTATCACACTGTTCTAAAGTAAGGGTCTTATACACACACACACACACATACGCTTTACTACTTAACATAAATCTCATAATAACTAACAGGACTGTCTTCATCATCATAATTAGCACACACCCTCAACTCAATATAGTCAGTAGTGGTAGTGCTACCATATTCTCTGTGAAACCATGGGATACCAGGAACATTACAACAAGGTGATTCAAGAGAGCCACAACCTTGACCATCCCATAGTGGATCAGATGTGTAAAGAATTTGTGATGGGCTACTAGTAACACCTGATTCACAGAAGTAGTTATTACCAATAGAAGATGGCACAAACACAAAACTCCCAGTATTACAAGGACATGAGCTTGATGAAGAACCTGATTCACTATCGCCAGCAATTAGTGACCAGACGTGTTGCTGAGAAGAACCACGAGTGATAACGACACCTTCAGTGCCACCAGCAAGACCATTTATAGAACCATATGTATATCCTGTTACTCTACCACACACCTGAGAATAACTGATATTATGAGATGGGAACTGAACTGATACACAACCATTTTGTCGTATCTGTTTACCACAAGCTCTAACTCCTCCTGACCGGTACAGACCAAACCCAGAAGGACAGTTCTGTGTAGCATCAGTCATATCCAGATATGCTAGTCTTGTCCATCCACCAGTAGAGTTACACAACTCCTCCATATTACAGTAAGCAGTATAAGTAGAACTAGCATTTGCCAGTAGATACACACCTGATGGACTGAGTGGTTGTCTCTCCTTAATCTCTTTACAAGAGGTAGCGGGTAAAACAGTTGAGTCATTGTGTAGTGCTA